GGCCAATTGAACTGTGCTTCAAAGTGTTGTGCCCAACGCTCTAGTCCCGTGTCCTTGGAGGTTATCAGCTTCCCATCTTTTTTAATGATGATATCAACAGCCATCAACTACTTGGTGGTATCTTTAATAAGCCTAAATAGTTACCGAGTGTTACCGAACACTATTTCCTTCTCCATCTCTCTCCGTCTCTCCATCCACCACTGCTCACAGTCGTTGTGAAGACCCTAGGTCAATTTACGTTTGTGTTACTTTCACTCTTCATCATGGTGAGACCCAGCTGGAATTAGTCTTCACACATTAATAAATGTGAATGGAATTGCAAACATGCGCTAGTTTTTGATTTCGACCGCCAACTCTCTGTACCGCTCTTTCTACAATGGACTAAATATTAAATCAAACTTAGGAAGAGAATTGCTGTCGTGTTCAGCATACATTCATGGATCGGTATTCCAGAGCTCTGGTAAGAGATGACTTCTTTCCAGTTTGGCAGGGGTTCCGGACGTTTGAGAATATAATCCGAAGATAACAGTGTGTGTTTAGGAGACTGGAAATGGTCTTTCGCTGACTTCACAGAATGAAGGGTTGAGGAAGTTTTATGGGGCTTAATAATGGTTACAGGAAAATGAAGGCAGTGGTAAGGAGAGTATATTTGATTGGGTTTTGTATATTACTGAAAATGTGTCGGTAGTTGACACTTAGCTGTCCATACCGTGAAAGTTGTCTCTGGATGATACCTGAAGGAGAAAATAGATTGGTTTTGCGTGACCGCAGAGCCTGTGGGACATCTGAAGGATTGTTTTCTTTATTCTTGATTGCTTTATCTCCGGATAGGAGGAACCCATACCTCAATCCACTGAGGAATGTACTTTTTTGGGGTCAGCCTTTTCTGAATCCATCCCTCCATAAAGAGAGCAGCGACAGCTTGGTACGCTGGTCATTCTTGAAAAACATCATATTGCTCTCACACCCTCTCCCTCAGGTGCCTTTCATAGCATAGCAGTGCGTGCTTTCACGGCAGCTGCTTTTCGTCTTACCATTATCTAACAGACATTTTTGACGTGGTAGAACCTCAAGAAACAAGTGTCCTACCCAGTGTAGCTCGTTGGGCTACTGTGATATGTAATCTTGATCCCCTCTTCCCGTTGGGAAGGTGGCAGTACTGGTTGTTCAAGAGAAACAACTTTCCGCTATCATACTCCCGTCCAGGCAGCAATGCGACTTCGTCTCGGACCCTCATCATAGTATAGTAATTTGCACTATAATGGTAACTGCTTTTTGTTTAACCAATATCCAAAGACCTTTTTATCATGGTAAGACCTCGAGAGAGCAAGCGTTCCTCCAGCATAGCTCATCGGGTCATTGTGGTACACAAACCTGATCACCACGTCAAGGTACCAACTATCGGCTATGAAGTTGTATTCAGCTTTAGTTGTCAAGCTTCCAGAAATTGTGCAAGGTGTGGTTAAACGGGACGTCATGAAAGTGGCTAGCGAGGTAGCTTATGGCTTTACGGAACGTCCTGTTCATAGTAACCAGCTCTAAAAGTTTCTTGCAACCTCATCAGGGGTATGGATAACAAGCACGGTGATGTTTTTGAGCGGTTTACGTGATAAGATTCAAAATGTTTGCAGGGGAACTGCAAAACATTGTGTTTAGTACGCTAAACAGAGATGAATTAGTGGCATCAAACGGTAAGCAGAAAGAAAAGTTTCACTTAATTCAGCTATGACCAAGGAGAGTCTTAATGTCAGTTAAATATATAGTGAGTTAGATTGTATACTGACTAGTGGCCTTTGCAGATTCTTGAAACTTTCAAGGAAGCATCTCACGAAAAGATTCAGTGATCAACTGCACCAGCGATATTGGCTTACTTGATACTAGAGGTCTAGAAAAACCTAGGCACTAAAACTGTAAGTCATCATCTTTATTTGTTTCAGCTCTGCAGCTATGAGTTTACGGAACAGCATCACTTGTTTCCTGAAACCGTGCTTTGAGCTGCATATTAGAGCTTAAAGTGTCCACACTCCGTCAAATTGAACAACTAACTTTCCTAACCAAAACTCTTACTTCTCGGGTCATGCACGTGTGCTGTGTTTGTGAGACACGTTTACAAGACCCAAATGTGGTTATTCACCCGACCTCGTTTGGCTAATATAGTGAATCTGAAAAATTCACTCTACGATTTTCTGGAGATTCAGTATTTCGTCGTTGTGTTCTCTTAAGTGTAGGTATATCACCGCTTAGCTGGAACCCAGTATACAATCACTTGTTCACTGTCCGACTGGACAATGCAATAAGGAATAAAAAGAAGAGTGAAACACACTGCTGTCTCTTTATAATCTCTGGTTATGTATCTACTGACTTCCTTTCGGCTGAAGGGAAAGATAAGTCCTACGGGAAACTGTTTAGTCTCTTACTGAACATCAAACTGTCAGATGTGGTTGTTTTTATAGCAGTTGTTTTCAGTGTTAGAGTGTGTAGGTTAGTCAGTCAGGCAGTAAGACACTTTAGAGGGACTTCCATAATTCCAGCCAAGCAAACAGATAACGGAATCAGCTATTGAAACTATACTCAACTAACTATCTATTTCTAGCCAACACGAAATTCAGGCCTAAAGAGGGACACTGGTGTGGGATCCACCGACCTAAATTCAACGGTGAACACAGGTAGACCAAATCGCCGTCAGTTATCACTGAAGAGGGTCGGTGGAAGATTGCTGCTTCTGCTGGAGAACGTGTTTGGGCAGTGGCCATTCCGAGGGTGGCTCAATGATGAGAGGACTGAGGTCGCCTTCAGTAGGGAACTGGCTAGACAGCTATCGAAGTACAACGATGTAACTCATCGAGAAGCCTAGCGCCATCATTAGTCTTCTGTAAAAACAACTTTAAAGACTGTAATTGACTGTCAGTAGATCTCAGCAACTCTTTCCGAATTAATGAATGTACATGAAGGCATTTCTGCCGGTTTCGCGCACGATGAGGTGTGAAGGCAACTGAAATTCAGGCTGATGAGAAGTCTACGCAATGACTGAGCTGTGGTAGGTAGTGAAAGATAAAGAGATGCAATAGGTCTTAAAGATAGGTAACAGTAGACAGTTATGTAGACTTATCCAGGAAAGTGGAACAGAATGATAGCGTTTAGTGGACCTATAGCATGAAATGATGTATCTGCACTTCATTTGCAGGGCAGATGACTGGAACAAATCAACTAGCCTCCAGTTTTTATTCCGTAATCTGCTATCCTGTTGGATCCTCATTGGAACATTAAGATAGCCCATCTGACTGCTGTAAGTAATACGAAGCAAGAAAGGATGGCATGACCAGTTGGGTTGGCAACTGGGGTTATTGATGACGCTGGCCGTAGATTGTTTGTTAGGTTAATTGGAGTGTTAGCTAATATATGGCCGTCAGGTACTGTCCTGTCAGACTGTTCTCTGTCACTGGTTGTCTCTGTATTCAAGAAATTTGAGAAGTCATCTTGAAACAACCACAGCGGAGTTAGCATGACAAACATCGTATTTAAAACCATAGGTTCTATGGGTGGAGCTTGGGTATAGTGAATTCAAGAAGGAAGGAACGTTTCAGACCTAGTCATGGATTTATCGATCACACCTTCACCTTCCATCAGGTTCTGGAATACGTGCACACTTACCGACACCTGATACTGGTTGTATTTCTTGACCTGAAGATGACATTCGACTCCATCGATTGAGTGGTCTTACAGCAGTATCTCTGATTGAAAAGGGTTCTGAGTAAGTATAGTACTCTGTTGAAGGCTTTGTACCGGAATCCCAATGGGTGTGTTAGAGCCTATGATGAGTTGTATACGTTGAATGGTGTGATCGACGTACATATAGAGGTCTCTATTCGTCTGACTTTACAGGGATTGATCTTATCACATGAGACTAGTAGATTTAGAGTACTCAGATGACATATTCCTGTTTGTTGAAGACACTGACAAGATGTAGAGTCTTCTAGACGTGTTGAGTGCTAAGTTGCGAATATTTGGTATGTGTTTCTCACCATCCATATACAAATCGTTGTTGCAGAACTGATCTTCACTGATTCTTTCTTTAGCAATAGGGAGAGTGAAGTAGTTGAGCGTGTTAATCATTTCATTTTCGTGTAAAGTTGTATCAGGATTGATGAGTCTGTGAACAGTGAAATCTCCGCAAAGATATGGAAGACTCGCTTGAAATTCGTCATTTTACGCTACCTATGACACGAGTGTATAACACTGGAACTCTCTCTGTTCTACTATTACATTTCCGTGATATAGAAGTGAAACTTGAGGATTTCCGTAGATTGTAACTCCATTTTAGTCTGTTTATGAGATCTATGATCCAGTGAAGTAGCATTATTTACTGGATAACATTTTGGACATGATTTTTTGTCCGTATTCATATAACCTGATAGTAATCTAATAAACAGGCTAAAATAAGGTTACAGTATTTCCATTTGTTCCGGGTTATTTAATAATTAATTGGTTGTTCTAATGGGAATATCCGCTTTACTGGATTGTATTTGAATTTCTTTGTGATTCGTTTCCGTTTATTCAATTTTATCATTTAAGAGCTTTTCTTGACCATATATTTTGGCTTTGCAAAGATGTGATTATGAGGACAGCATTATTTTTTTCCAACTGAATCTGGAGTGACTATCGTGGCTTTATGGTCTAGGGGATAACCCTCCGGGGTTTGGAGCGATCGTCCCCGAGTTCGAGTCTTGTTGGAAATAACATCACTTACTGGGAGGCAGGTAGATCCGACTGACGAGTCCCAAATAGGCCGAAACAGACGTACTGAATCCCACTGCTAGCCACTATCCATCATTAATGAATCCCTTATGTTAGGCAAACTGGATATTTTGATACATCAGTGTGTGGTGTACATTTTAATATTTCCGTAGTTTTTCATTTTTTTTTCTGCTGCCATTGTAGTAATTATTATATGATTATCTATTTGAATTTTATTTCTGTTTATCTGTTTTGTATAATTTTAGAATAATGGCTTCCCATGCAACACCGGTTTAACAGATGTAGATTCTCATTCTACTTCAAATGATCCAGGTAATTATGTAGTCTTTTAATTTGTTTCTACTTTTCTTATTTTCAATTCACAGTTTTGTCTAACCACTATTATGTGAAAGTGAAATGCTTTCGCTAACAATTGAATAGTTTAGTTTTGTGTTTATCTGATTTCTTCAATATTCAACACAATGACCAAAGGTAAACACAAATGAACTATATGTATGATATTGTCTGCGTGCAAATATAAAGTATTCGTGCTATATACTCTTGTTAACCTGACTTGAAGTTACGCTAATTATAGTGTTGGACTATCTGTAGAATACGTTGTATACACGATGGGAAATCGTGTAAGGCAGGTAGTTTATGCTGACTGTATTTAGATATCATTTTATTTCGAAGGATAATGAAGCATTGTCAGATTTCATTACAGATTTACCAACTGTATACCAGTATCCGAAATATAAACCTTATATGGCACTGTAGATTAAAAATATTACAGTAACTGAAGAGATTAATTAAATTTACGCCCGAAATTACTTAATTCATTTACTCTGTTTGAATAGAATAGTGACCGATAACATCAGTCATACTACATAAAGCTTACATTGGCAATATACTGGATACTGGCAGTATGTTTCAACTAGTTCTTTCAATAGGTGTTTAAATTAAATTTTGAACTAGTTTTGTGCTTCTTACTTGCTACTTAACTTGAATGGAAAATCAACAACAAGCCGTTTTATTGAGTATCATAATAAAGCACGTTGTTTTAAAGATAAAATGGTATTGGTTTTTATCCAGTGTGCGGCAATATCAATATCCAAGAACTTGTTTATCTAACATTTACAAGTTAGACAGATTTGTTTCTTTTACAAACTTCACTATGATGTCTTGCATAGTATAAGTGTGAACAACATAGTTCCAGTGTAAACTTCAACAACTAGTCTTTTACTTAGACTGTGATTAGTTGCTGAGTAGTGTAAATCATTCCCTAATTTTATTGACCAATCGGCGTTCATCTTATTACAATTATGCTTATGCATTTATTAGCACAATGACTCTTTAGATTTTCGCAGTCTTCAAGAAATCACTGTGAATATATAGGTTTAATAAGCATCGTACACCTAAGGGAGAGCTTGGAAACAAACCTGAAAATAATAAGTTAGTTTTTATAGCTAAGTGTGGGTGCTTCAACTAAATCTTCATCCTCCCCCAGGTCATCGAACATAGACATTTTCGTAACACTCGACTCTAGTTATATTTTTTGACAGCATTACACTCTGTGTGACATTGTATTTCATTGAATTGGATACCCCAACAATATACACCTTGCTGAAGACTATGCTCAAACATTCTTGATCATATTGGAGTCTTTTATAAGCTATTTGTCAGTGTTCGTTGAGGAAATATACACCCATTATTTTAATGGAACATTGCCATAGATTTATGTAGATCTGTATCCCCTTGTCGAACTTTACATGGTCTAATTTCCCCACAAGAGATTCCTTAGTGGACATAGAGTTGGTAGTTGACAAGGCTGTAAACCTTCATCGAATGAGATGGCTGAGATATGTTACACGTGAAGAATATTTGTAACGCGGGTGGATGGTCTCGGTTGTATTGTATTCTCTGAGCTAGGTTGTTTAATCGTGGAGCTTTCATCGTCTTTCCAGATGAAATCATCAACATTAACTTCAGTATGAAGTGAGCTGTCAATATCTCTCCATGAGTGATTTAGTAGCCTGCCCTGATGAACTGATGCCGTCTAGAAAGACAATGAAAGCTCCATGATTAAACAACCCAGCTCAGAGAACACAATACAACCATGATATGTCACACGTGGTTGTAACGTAGTGTTAGCTAGGTTCGAAGTAGGTTAGATAAAAATAGGGTGATTGGATAAAAACATGACATAATTTATTGAGTTTCCGACTAATTTTTGATGTATGTGGGGAAATATTGTCTTTTAGGTTGGGGTGCATAAGACAGTCTAAATTGATGGTTGGATACTTTTGATGATACGATTTGAAATCAATCGTAATGACATAAATACATTCACACATTGTTGTCATCTTAATTAACATAATAATATTTTGGTTTCTGCTTTCACCCTTCTTTTTTTTCATTGGTTTCCTACAATCGTGGATTTCAGTTTTTCCGTTATCCTTCTTCTCGTTGTCTGTATATAAAGTATGATGGAGTGATGTCAACTTCTGTGTTGATGTTCACTTACCGACCTATGAATTGTGTTTGATATTTTAGATATCAATGACTAAGGTGATGTGTTTACCCACAGATGGGTAACGGATTTGAGTCCCAATCTACCTACAGAGGTTTGAGCAGCCAAGTAATATCATTAACCCTCACACATTAGGTGTGGCTCATTGCCGCCTTCATGAATGTCCACAAGGTTGCTGAGTGTATTTCGATTTTCAACGAAGTCTGTCGTAAAAACCTCGGCTATGACTCCACTGTCAACCTGAGTTATTTGATGACACATTAGTGAGTAGTATTTATTGTCTTTTGCTATTATGCAAATATAGTCAACCATTCTAGTCAATGTCTCCCTATGTCAGTTAAATCCACCATTTAATGCGTAATTCCATCGTGGAGTGCTGTTACTGAATGTAGAACAGTTTTGTTTCAGGCTTCACATTTCCGAAATGGTGGGTCAAGTAAAAGAGGAGCCTCTATATAATTACTAGAGTTTGCATCACTGTGCTGCACTACCTCAACTTTTACTAATTTCTGGCTCACTGTAAAAAAAGCTTCAAGCTTTTTATGCTGTCATATATATTTCTAAATACGTTGCCTTTGTGTTGCATATAACCTTATTTTCACTTTTTGCTCGTTTTCTTAGCGTCACCAGTCACATGGCAACTGGATGATCCCGCTATTGTATCCAGTCGGTTATCATCAACAGCAAGTAAGTTGATGTGAATTATCACTACTCTTTTGCCTAGTTGTTAATTGTAAATGATGAGATTGATGTATTTTGGAGTTACTGAGTGGGAGACTAACTTTCATTAGTATCAACAAGGCATGAATTATTGTCTTTATTTTAAACGACTTAAAGACTAATTGTACAGGTGTTTTCTACTGGATTAGACACTTGGCTTTCATATACAAAAAATGTAGAATAGTTCAGTGAAGAGGTTGTTTTCAGCCACTTGAGATTCAAGCAGTGGTTTTCAGTTCTGAATCTAGTTTCACCTACTTATGCCGGGCAGCCGGTCGATACCATAAAGTTGGTCCGTAATCTGAGACAAACGTCGTATGGACATTCCATGTCCCTATGCTTACTTTTGCTTTCATCGAGAGAAGATTCATCGGCGAATTGACTTCACGAATGATTTCACCAACCAGCGTCATTTCGTCTCCCCGATTCCAGAAAGGAATAAGTTTATCTTTTATATCTCCTCTATGATTTGAAGTTTCTTTAGCGATTGGATTGGTTTTATGGGGTGGGGTTGTTAGCTCTTTGCCCAATCTTCCCTCTTTATCCGGGTTTAGAACCGGTTAGTAAACTAATGAACTAGTAAACTAGGAGATGAACCAATCAAGAACCTATCGCCCAACAAATATGCAGAAGAAAGTGAAGATGGATTGGACATTCACTGAGAAGACTGTTTTGAGGACATCACGCTCCAGGTCAGGCCCTCGAGTGAAACCGAAATGAGAAGACGACTAGTTGGAGGAGATCGTATAGGGAAGAAATGAAAGGATATAGGCAGTTATGGAGCAAAGAACAGAGTGAAATGGCTAGGTGGTACAGAAGTCCTATGTTCCACTAGGAACCCAAGGGACAAATAATAATAGTCTGGGACATAACTATATTGGGTCATCTTCTTTTGCTAATTAGTTAATTGGTCCACTAATTTCATCATAGATTTGTAGATGAATTTTTTGTATGGCATACTTAAGCTACTCATTTTAGTAGTTAAGACTCAGCAAAACTAATAGCATTTGGGTGTGGCTTGGTTGTATCGTTTTGTTTATCAATTTTTATGCGTACATTGTAGCTACATAAAAGTTGAATTAGTTGTTAACTGCGTTCACTGATACATAATGGCAAATAATAAGTTTTTCTATTGTCATTGATAGCGTTGTTCATTTATCTGCGACATCGTAGCTGGGTATGCCTAAATTCTTCGTCAATACTAATGTTCTACGATTCTCAACACGATGATTATTTATTACAACTCCGTAGCGTTATCTATGTACCTAACCATCCCAGTCTCTACTATCGAGCAGTTCGTCGATACATTTAGAAGGTCAAAAATGTATCCGTAACCTTCTTAAATTGTTACTCAGTGTTGAAGAGACTCAACAGTTTATCAGCATCTTCATGTACTATACTGCAGTTGGCTTTGTTTTACTGTATGACTGTGAAAAACGTCCATTAAAGGTAGACGATATGAGAAGACTTCTCATGTCTGACTACCGTTGCCTTCGTAGCATAGACCGTGTTTCGTGGTGTCACCACGTTAGTAATGCAGAAGTCAGATGTCGAGTTTTAGGGAGGAGAGGAAAGTCAGTTGATCTGGTTGTCAACCTTCATGGCTGGGACATGTATCACGCATGCCTAGTCAGCGTCTACCTCATCACACAATGTTGGTTGAAGTATAGTCACACTGAAAAAAGGCTCAGGGCGGCCAGACTAAAACATCGCATGAATCCCTTGACTGTTGGTTTGAACCATATTGGGAGATGCAGACTTACCGTTTGGGGTCCACGTGACAACAGAAAAACAATGGTCGGAGATTCTAGGTGATATGGAGTAGATGTATTCACAAGTTATCTTCACCCTAACCACTATACTGAATTCAGCATTTTCTCATTCTTCCTTTCTCTTTGTTATAGGCCTTTCTATTGCTTTTTACCGATTCTTCTTTATGTCTCCATCTTCCATCTTACTAGCTGTGCTGATATGAGTTGTGACGATTTGAACGTTTGTGCATTAATACTTGGTCTTATATTGACATTGACTGATTGATCCCTGTTTTATCCCGTTTTCTTTCTTAAAAGAAATTCAAGTCAGTAAAAGAATTTTTAGATTGGTTAACCTCTAAATTCACAAAAAGATACAGTCCCCTCTCTAAGTATACTTGTGAGAAATGAGCTAGCGGATATCCATTGAAAGGTGTCACCCGAAAAGCTATCAGCGACAGGTGTCCAATAATACGTTCCAGTATAAAGTCTTATACTACTGAAATAACCCTTTCATTGAAATGAACTCAAAAAACGGTTCAATTGACAGATTCATCTACTGCATTCATTTTACGAAGTGTGGTTATTGTTAGAATCTGGTAAGTACTTTTGTATTCCAAAATCGAGAGCATCTTGAAAAAATGAATGCTACCTACTTTTTCTCTAGCTCTAGCTATCCAACGAATAATGACTATGTAACTTAGCATCTCATGTATTATTTTGATCACGGGTTTCTTACTGGCTTGAACGATCAGGAACAGAGACCAAACAGAGGGAATCGTGTCTAACTTCCACACTGCAGCAAATACCTATCAGTCTAGCTAATAAACCTTGTCGGAAGTGATCTCTATATAATTTGGTGGCAACCCATTGAAAACTACCATCATCCCTTGTTTTCTGTCATTGATAACTCACTCCCACAACATTGTGGTCGAATGTCATTATCTGATTTAGGTCTAGGCTAAATATTAGGCAACTGAAAAGTAATCGAAGAATTAATACAGTGTTTATTGAAGTATTTTGATTAACCTTCTAGTTATCTCTCTTTTGGGTAGGTTTCCATTCTGTCCTTCCTGGCTATATTCTGTGTAACCATTGAAGTTTATGCACCATTTTCTTTGATAAGCTCGATCAAAAAAGTGATCTGGAAAGAAGAGGAACTTAATTAGAGGATATTTTAAATCTCTATTTGTTCTCATACTACTGTTTGCTAATAAAAGACAAGTAATCTGGGTTACATCTGATATTGTCTAAAAGTCATTGAGTCGCGTAACCTGTAGGGCTCTTTTTAAAGTATCCTGCTTCAGTAACCAATGCTAACGTAACACAACTATCCCGTTTTATGAACCGAACACTACTCCAGTTTCTTTGCTCATTCTTAGGACCAATGAACACTTATGGTTTGGATAGCTAAAGCGAATAATATACGAAAGGCTTATCCTAGTTTTTAACAATCATCTAACGAACTAAATATCGATCTTTTTTATTCATTAAAACTACCCCACCATATCGCAAACTTATTTACATGATGTTCCTATGAAATGGGAGCAACCTCGCTAAGAATATACACAATTAGCTTTGGAACATATTTCTCTCAGGTCTGCACCAGAAACGACTAAATAAAAACACTGTACAGCCATTGGTGTAAAGCATATTTTGTGCATATGGAGGAGACAAACTCCAACAACAGTCAGTCCTTACTACTTTCTGTTGTCTTTACCTCCTCTATGCAAGTAGTCATTAAGTTATATCTTCATAATTATTATTGATTGAAGTGTATACTGATTAGTTGGTTGCTATTCTAATATTGCTTAGCAAATGAAAGATATTTTCACTTCAAATACACAAAGATGATTTTTTTTCCTCCGGTTTTTTAGTAGACTTTTATTTTCAGAATCATCTTTCGAGTAGTAAATTCTATGAATTGAGCCTATATGTAACGGTGTGACAGATTGTTTTGTGCTGTATGCCTGACTACTAGTTTTCCCCGATCCTATGTAATAAACATTAAATCATATTTATCGACATTTTTCCCATCAATGCATTCAACAAATTTTTCATGTAAAATTGCTCAATATACCTTTGTATATTTGAAAATATTTCAGATAGCGCCATGAAAAATAATCAACCTTCTCCTGCATGGAAATCATCACCTTCAAACCTTCTTGAACGTAAGTCTTTACCTGATCTTCTTTATTTTTGCCTACACATTTTATCACTTCATGCTTTAATGATCAAATGATACAAGTTATTATAATTTCTCAGTTGGATGATTTGTGATATTCATCAATTGATTTCAAGTTGTAATTTTTTTCCGTGTGTTGAAATCAGCTAGATGAGCATAAAAACACAATAGAGAAGTAGATGGTTGTTTCGTGTTAGTATGAAAATTTTGGGATATTTATATCAAAACTAGTCTCTAATGAGCATAGGTATACAACGACCAAGAATAATGGATTATGGTGGCGCTATGTAGTGAATTAATAGGCGTTTTGCGAAGCCCATATACCAATAGAGTTCGAATATTTCGATCCAATAAAACAACGGAGAATAACAAGTATGTCAACAAATAGTAATAACCACTACCCGTTGTACAAGAAGTGGCTATCCTTCCTCCGTGGCGTAGTGGATAACACTTTGGCGTTTGAAGCGATGAGTACGAGTCTCAATAGGAACAATATCACTCAGTGAGGTGTAGGTACATTCAACTGTATTCCAGATAGGACGTAAACGCGCGCCCTAGATTCCTCTGCTAGCCATAACCAAGTAAGTCAGAGATTGAAGTCCTTCTCTATTTACTGAGGTTTGTATAATTAGTGAATGTGATTAACCTACACAAAAACAGGCATAGTTTTTACTCTATCTTATGAACCTCCTTATGGTTGCCTACTTAATTTTTAGGTGTTATAAGAATCTAACTATTTTGGATATATACAAATATATTTGTACTTTGAAGATAACTTGAGGTTAAGTGTAACTTTTCCATTGATAGGGACAACTAGTTATTTTCAAATACCTTACCTTATGTAAAATGTGCTGTATTTTATTCTTGGAACTGTGTTTATCTCTTCTAGAAAACAGGCGATTTCTGTGAATGATTATGTTGTATACTAATGATGCAACTATGTAAATTGTTTTCAATCTCAATTACGAAATCTGAACATCATGATTTACAAATTAATTATTATACTGTTCGTTTTTCAGATTCCAGCGAAACTAATATCTTCAACACTTTTGTTGTACATACTTTTGTGAATCAATGTTCTTTCACCCATTAAATATCAACGTAAAGAATAACGAAGTGAACCCTAGATTATAATCAAATATTGTAGGTTCAAAATCAAAGTATTTGAATACATAATACAATTCTTCACCGATCGGATGTCTTGAACAAATAAAAGAATACAACTAGCTATCATTTATGGCTGCTAGCGTGATTCATACGGGCTATGAGCAACATTTGTCGTATAAGGGCTTTATAATATTCCACAACTAATCATAGTGTAGCCTGAATAATATGGTAAAGTAAACCTAACTTTTATATATCGTTTGTGCTTTGAAGTTTCTTTAGCGGTTAGATTTGTTTTATGGGGTAGGGTTGCTAGCCCTATGCCCAACCTTCCCTCTTTACCCAGGCTTAGGACCGGCTAGTAACTAGTGAACTAGTTAACCAGGCGAGGTTTATTTTATTTTAGAAGTAGTATTCATCATGGACTGACATCAGTTGAGGAACCATTGGAAATCTGGGAGCACTGGACAGATCTTTCGTCCTAGTATGGTATAGGAGTTCTCAGCAGTACGCACCCACGACCCGGCTAGGGGTCGAACCCAGGACCTTCAGGTGTCACGGCGAACGCGTTAACCAAACTCCCGAAGAAGGGAGACCTCAGTGTTTGCAAGAACTGGCGCGGAATCACTCTCCTGTCCACCCAGAGCAAGCAAAATATTAAGCCGCATCATCCTGGAGAGGCTAAAGGATGCACTGGATTCAAAACTACGACCCGAACAGACTGGCTGGATTCAGGAAGTACAAATCATGTGCAGACCTAATTGCAACGCCACCCTGTGCATCATCATAGAACAGAGCATAGAATAGCAATCGGCTCTCCACCTCAACTTTATCGACTTTGAGAAGGCCTTTGACAGCGTCGACCGAGAGGTAATTTGGAAACTCCTTCATTACTACCCAGTACCGCAAACCTTTATCAACCTCATTCAACAACTATATGAAGATGCCACATGCCAGCCAAGTAATTCACAATGGGAAGCTCAGTGATGTTTTTGCAGTGAAGTGAAGACAGGAGTGAAACAAGGTTGCCTACTATCCCCCATGATATTCCTGATTGTGGTGGACTGGATCATGCAGCAAACAGTGGGGAGCTGTGAGAAGAGGGGGATACACTGGACTGTGAAAAACCTATAAAATCTGGATTTCGCCTGTGATGACTTGTGTCTGATGTCACACAAACTTGAAGACCTACAGGCGAAAACTAACAAGTTGATAGAAGAGGCAGCGAAGGAAGACGGGACTTACTTCAGATGAACGTAGAGAAGACAGAGGTGATGAAGATACCGCACCACCACCAACAACAAACTCCAGTCACCATGAACGGGAGAAACTTAAAGGAAGTAACCTCCTTCACCTATCTAGGAAGCACTGTTTCAACTACAGGCGGGACAGACGAGGATGTCAAAGTGAGAATCGGAAAAGCAAGACAGGCGTTCATTAGCCTGAAACCAGTGTGGAAATCTTCTGCACTCAGCATAAAGTGTGAACAAGATGTGGATTTTCAACACGAACCCAGCCAAGTCAGTGCTTCTGTGTGATGGTTGAGAGACTTGGCGCGTCACGAAAGGGATTTCCAATAAACTGCAGACATTCATCGACAACTGCTTACGCTCGTTACTGAAGATGAGATGGCCAGGAAGAATAAGCAACAAGGAGCTCTAGGAACGAACCAACCAAGAACCTATCGCTGAACAAATATGCATTGGAAGGAAGTGGAGATGGATTGAATTGGCATACACTGAGAAGGCCGTTTGGGGACATCACGCGTCGGGCCCTCGAATGGAATCCCCATGGGGAGCAACGAGTTGGGCATTCGAGGTGAGGTTGACATGGAGGAGATCGTGCGAGGAGGAAACGAGAGCTTGTGGGCTGTCGTGGAACCAGGTTCAAAAGATCTCAGAGAACAGAGTGGAATGGAGACGTGCTACTGAAGCCCTATGTTCTACTAGGAACCCAAGGGACTAATAAATAAATAAATAATAAACTTGTCAAAATTGCCAAGCTTAGCAGTTATACATGAAACGACACAGAACTTATAGCATATACATATTAGTATTGTTTATCGAAAGATTCATCTACATAATTCAACAGATAAGCTGAAAAATAGAAATTCATCTATGCATTATTCGTTTGACTTAGCCTGTGAATACAGTTCTGTTTTTCAGTTGTTAGGCAAACCGGTATCGGAAATAACGCAGTGTTAAGTGATGATAAATTTGTGAGAATAGGATGCTAACCTGAATATTGTTATGTTCATTTAATTTTCAGGTTGGTAGTCATCATAGACTGACATCAGTTGGGGAGACGTTGGAAACCTGAGAGCACTGTTTCGTCGTAGTATGGGACTTCTCAGTAGTGCGCAGTCACAACCCTGTCAGGGATCGAACCCAGGATCTTCAAGTTCTATGACCATCACATTACCATTTAGCCACTTGGTTGAAATCCAGTCATCCATATTTTCTACTTCTGTCACTTACCAATATAGTAGAACCTCCATCCAGTGCCGTCGTTGAGTAACTGTCCTCATGTTCGACTTGGTTGGCCCTACCTATCACTCATTCTCATTGGAAATTTGGGAATCACTTTTTGGATCAAGTCATCAATGAGCACTAAATGTACATTCGTGACTTCGCTAGGGATGGGTGGGTGCGCACTTCTGAGGAGTTGTATACGAAACAGTTATCGGATGTTTCCAAGTTTTCACTGATTCTCCATCTGATGTCAGCTCCATGATGAATACCAACTTGAAAAGAAACAAACTTCCAAATTCATTTAATTTTTCTCTTTCACCAACCTTAATAAAGCAAGAAGATAAAGAAGTAGCAGAATTAGTGTTTATGCATTTCATGAATTCTCTTCAGTTGGTTTTACAACCCAGTGAGTATAATGTTTATGATAAAGAAAAGGGTAAACAACTTATTTTCATAAATTGATAAGAATGTGCTACTTGTGATTGAAGATGAGAAGAAATGGCAGGCTGACTGAAATCAATATTAGGAGTCATCAAAAGTTAACTAACAATGATTGGAGGGTAATGAAAATAGGGCGGGGGGGGGGAAAAAGAAGTTGTAAACAACTAACAAAAAATGACACCATTACCGAATAAATGTACTAAAAAGTTAACATTATATTGGTTGATAAGATGAGAATTGTGAGTGATTTTAGAATAGAGAAAATGTAAAAAGAAACAGGATCATGAAGTTTTGTAATCACAAATTAACAAGTTCAACAAGATTAATAACAGTATCCTTTTGCTGCATACAAAGGTCATATTTGAGTCTTCCAATATAATTGCAACTGTTTCAGAGTAGCGCAAAAGGTTTTGATTTAAATTTTATGATTGATCACTGTGAACGATTTCAATCTATCATCATCATGTCCACTATCGAGTAAATACTGAATTGAATTTTGAGGGGTTTGTGGTGATTTAGAGATATTTCAAGTTGATATTCATCGTAGACTGACATCAGTTGGTGAAACAATGGAAACCTGGGAGCGCTGGATAGCTGTTTTGTCCTAGTATGGGACTCTTCAGCAGTGCGTTCCCACGACCCCGCCAGGGATCGAACCCCCCGACCAGGTCCCCTGGCCAACATGTTATCATTAAGCCACTGGGTTGGAGTCCAGTGGTCTATATTTGCAACTACGATAAATATCAACTTGAAATATCTCTAAATCTCCACAAATCCATTAAAATTCAATGGAACTGATGCACATTGGTGACTATCTTCGAGAGGTGATTCCCGAAGTTCCAGTGAGAAGTCGTGACCAGTGGAGCAAACCTGATGGCCGTGAGGACAACTACTCAACGATGACATTGGGTGGCGGTTGTGCTATGTCGTGAAGTGACAGAAGTTGGAAATATGGACTATTGGATTCCGACCCAGTGGCTCAATGTTAACGTGTTGGCCACGGAACCTGGTCGCGGGTTCGATGCCTGGAGGGCGAGGTCGTAAGTGCGCACTGCTGAAGAGTCCCATACTAGAGCGAAACAGCTGTCTAGTGCTCCCAGGTTTCCAATATTCCTTCAGCTGATGTCAGTCCATGATAAATACCAACCTGAAAAAAAAATCTCAAAATCCCTACTCCCCCTAAATTCAATTATCATTTTCTTGTTATAACAAAGAAATTAAGAAGATGGTAATATCTATACTAGTTCAATATTTACACTACTTGGTACTTAGGTGGAAACAGTTTTTTGTACTGAATAGATAAAAAGTGATTTTTGAACTCTGAACAGTTTAACATAATCCAAGAAGTTGTCACTCATTGGTCTAGGGATTTAATTACTAACCGATGGGCCATGTGTTTGAACCCCACTCCATCTACTGAGGTCCAGGCAGCCAGACGGTATCATTAGTCTTTACAGAAGAGGTATAACGTATTGCCTAGTGCATGAATGTGTACAAGACTGCTGAGTGGATTTCCACCTGATTTCAAGATGTGATTCAGGAGCTCTATATCACAGTGAACTCAACTTCATTCATATCGCCCCAGTATGTATCATGCTTTTCGGCTATCTCAGATAATCTCACCAACAGGTTCTAAGAAGTGTTCTTCAACTTCAAGACAATATTTCTGACTGACCTAGTAAAAAGTATCAGTTGGTTATATACACGAATCGGTTGCGGATAAAATTGATGTAGTCGTGAAATTTCTACGAATTTTCCAATATAACGATTAAGCTAAGTGACATGCAAATGTGGTGCATTGTATTGTGGTGTTGGAAACCGTTCAACGAAAGGACTTTGGCTTTCAGTCTGTGGCATTCAAAATATAATGCATCACAGGGTCAGATCACTTGACTTAGGGGTCACATTACAAACTTAATCGATAGCTACTTGGGTAAGGTTTGAAGAGCAAATTATATACATGTCCTATTTCTGCTAAGTGCCACTCATTGTTTGAATAGGTTGTTGGTCAATTTTGTGAATTTGATGCTGGATGATGAGGATTGAAATCATCAAAGGAACACTGATTCCTTCAAGGACTGTATATACACCTTGCTGACGACTGCTAATAAACATTTCTTCCCGTCGTTTGACTTCCAGCATGTTGCAACGGAACTCTTTGACCAGACCTAGATGTAGCACCAGTCGACGAAATCCCTAACTGTTGGTTTAGGTCTTGTTGCGAGGTGTATACTACCTGGCTAGGGTCCTTGAGATGACAGGAATCAGTGGTTGAGGCGTCTTGATGACACGGCTTAAAATCAGTGACAGTAACGCAGATGTATTCACTCCTTGACGTCTTCTAAAGCTTGAATATTCACACTTATTTTCAAATTGTTTATTCTCTGACACTTGTTCTTTGTGTACTACCGTGAAGTTTGGTAGGTTGAAGTGATGAACTTATGTGTGACGTTTTACGTTGATTTTGTCTGTCTGTTTTTACGAAATGACATTTACCAAAGTGCATTATCATGTAAAGTAAGAAATGTTGATAATTTCCTTGGATACTATCTATAAATGTACTATATTTTTTGTTGTTGTAATCTTCCAGATATATGGCGAGCAACTCCGAATTTCCAATCGTTTTTTGATCCATCTTTAACTTCATTCATTTCACAGTCGTCGAGTTTCAAGAACCAAAATCAGTCGCAATCTAGAGATACTGTTCTGCATTCATCGTCTCATAATCAAATTACAGAATAAAACAGTCCCAATTCTGTTTTTTCTTCTCAATCGATTCAGTTGAGAGACAGGTGTAGATTTTTACATTTGCATCTTTTCCAAACTGTGCAATCACTTCGGTGTAACCATCTCAGATATATTTCTTGGGAAAAAATAAGCGACACTAGATTGATGTTCATTCTCAACAATCACTTTTTATCACCCTAGCCTATTTAAAAAAACAATATATATATATATATATATATATATATATATATATATATATATATAAAATTATTTTATTCACAACTCTTATCATATTTTGATTGCTCATTCACTTTTCTCAGCATAGGTACCTCATGAATTGTTAGATGGTATCGCACATCTTTTGTCATTAACAAATGGTGTATAACACTGGCCTCTTAAGTTATAGAAGTTATTCTCTGTCACAGACGAAAACATTGTAACCGTGGAATCTGGCATAATTGCATAAAAGTTCAGACTTACCAATTATACCTCACATAAATACACTGAATGGACACAAAAGGCTCGGCTGGCTTTCGCCAACTTACGCCACCTATGGCGCCGGCGTGATATTTGATTGTCTATTAAGGATCGCGTGTACTGCACAGCAGTCCGCTCTGTTCTATTGTATGCCTGTGAAACATGGCCAATGAAGGTGGAAGACACGAGAAAGCTTCAAGTGTTTGACCACCGTTGCCTTCGTAGTGTAGACCGTATTCCGTAGTGTCACCACCAGGTGAGTAACGCAGAAGTCAGGTGTAGAGTTTTAGGGAGAAGAGGCAAGTCAGTTGACATGGTTGTGAACCTTCATTGACTGAGATGGTTGGTACAAGTACTACATATGCCTAGTCACTGATTGCCTCATCACACAATGTTGGCCGAAGTGCGTTTATGCTGGAAACAGGCACGAGGTGGCCAGACTAAAACATGGCACCAATGCATGAAGTCTCTGACTGTTGGTTTGAGCCATGTAGGGAGGCTGATGCAGACTTGGTGGTTGGGGTCGGCGGGACAAGAGGAACCAGTGGTTGGAGACTCCAGGTGATGTGGCTCAGAACCGATGTCAGTGGCACAGATGTATACACACATTATCTTCATCTCACCGTTTTGTCATTCTTCCTTTCTTCTCGTACTTCATATTTCTCTTGACTGAATTTTCTTATCGTCATCTTTCACCTCACTACCTTTTTACTGAATGTACTGACGTGAGGTGTGACAACTCGGACCGTTACGCAGTATTGCCTGGTCCTATGTTGATAATGATGATTAGTACGTTGGATTGGGATTTAACAGGATGTACTTAATTTTTGGGCAAGTAAACTAAACAATTGTTTACCATTATTGCATTTACGATCTTTTGAGTTTTCGTTCCCACCACAACTATCCTCAAGTAGACTATTAATTAGCTTACAGTTGATTGAATTAGGTTTCGGATAATAGTCGAAGTTCTCATCAATTCATCCTCATGCTTCTAGTAATTTGGATGAAGTTTCTGAGAGATCCTTTTTATTTCACCTTTCTTTTTACATGAGGTTAGAAATATTGTCAAGTTGTTACAGGATGAGTACTATTTTCATGTTTGTCTAAAGTGTTTACTCACTTTCCCACTAAATGCGGACTTGATATCCTCTTCAAAAAGAGCTTAGAAACGCATCTTTTAGCCGCAGTTTGCTTATCCATTTGGGAGTGTACATGCGTATTCTCGATCTAGTGCACCTTTGATGTCATGGTGTGTTCTAAAAAACGAATGGTAATACTCCATAGATACTCTTCAGTATTAACGGATCGGTATCCACCATTTATTTGCGATTGTTCAACGGCAAGTAAAGTGGTATCTTTCAGTGGGCGTGTAGGTGAAAACTGCAAATCGTTTGTAGATTGTTTTTTTATATTTCAGTTCTTGTTATACTATTCAATCATTCATTGAACAGGTGACTATCAACTAGGATCCGGTGAACAATACATCTGTCTCAGAACTTAATGCTTTGTCTAAATGTGCAAGACGATGTTAATCGGAATTTGAATTCCTACACCTTCAAACCAAACAAGTACACTTTTATTATCTATCTGGATGCGTTAAAGTCAACAGCTATATCTGCCTCTTTTATATATGTTTTAAAAGCTTAACATACGTTTATCGCTCCAGACACACACCAGATTTCTGTTTGATGGAGCTTGTTTTGGGGTTTTTACAATTTAGAGATCTATTAGTTAGTGTTTGCATAGTTTCAGAAGACAAAGTAACCTATCCTATGAACTCGAATTAGTTAAAGATGATGTCGAGTTATTTACAGGAAGAGATAAGAGACTGCCATATGCATATGAACTGATCGTATCGCAGAAAATTGATTTTATTTGGGGTATGTGAAAAACATCATGTCGGTGGACGCACAACACCACACGGCTGACATTTAGAGCTCAGTTGGTATACATCCTTCCGACAGTTCGAAGACGACATGTCTAGAAATACTGGTTATCCTAAGGAAAGGACGTTGTTGTCGTTACACTGGAACTATCAGGAGTGCCACTTCACCTTTCGACTTAATATTATTGCGCGTCCTTCTTACTGTGAACCAAGCCTCTTTTAGTGTTTTCACTTTCCTATCGATGTTCTTGACTTAACAAGGACTTAAGAAATGAGTATTCGACCAATCTAGCTCATGTTCGACCGCAGTGACAAGGTGGAAGTCGTGATTGAACAAGTACCACTCTATTTCGAGTTTTTCTCCCTAACCTGACTAGGTAACTGAAGTTAATCGATATTCATAGATTGATACGTTAATTCATTTTTTTTGTCATTGTGTTACTTCTCTTGGTAGCATACAAACGACACTTTATTTTCAACATAACTTTTACTATGATTTATAACCTGTTAGTGTGTTGTGTTAAGTCACGCCACCATTAGATTAATACTAAAAGTATGACATACTTTTGATTCTTCCATGTTACCTCTGCAAATAATCGTCAACGATTACTGTTTACTTTATTGAGATCTCAAGCTTAACAACATCAGTTTTGCGTGAGTTTACAAAAGCCTCTGCTAGACATACTTACTGAACAACTGTAAGATAAGAATACTATGTGTGACCTTAGCATATTGGATCATAAAATACTAGTGTTATTGTTAACATGTGACTGATAGTCTGTTAGCTATGTGGTTGTGTTGGTAGTCGGCAGCTATATATCTTTATATAGAAAATGTTCAGCGCACAAATTACCAAGAGTGGTGTCTACTAGACAAGCTGGTGAGTTTTATTATATTGGCTGAAATCAGTAGTTACGTACTACTCCAGCCAATTAGCAGTGCTTGCTAGCTGACTGATCATCGAAAACAGGTGATAGTAAAGCCCGTCTATGCTTGATTCGAGGATGAAGACATCAAGTATGTATTTATGGGGAGGAGTCAGCTAAGCATTTACTTAAATATACTAGCAACGCTCATCCTGAGGAAGCCTCGCGTGATATTTAGTCTAACAAAAAAATAGTGATGAAGACAGTTGGAAATCTACGCCCAAACGTTAGCGAACGTCACTTGGTTTCTGCGACGTCATCCGAAATAATCGATGCGAGAAGACTGATTTCAACCGGCTGTCACCACAGTGAAAGCAACATTGATGTGAATCGAACAAGAGTCGTTGCAATAATCGTGAGCAGTATGGGATTGGGAAAGATTTTTCTACTTTTTACCATATCCTTTGATCTTTTTTGATATCACTCTTTTCTATCCCCTTGTTCTTTGCATACTACTATGAAGTATGGCAACTTGAACCAATACAAGGTTGATTTTGTCTGTCATTCATAATGGATGTCATCTATATGAACACAGTTCATAAAACCTTTATTTAACATATTTCTTCATCAGATTATGCCAAATGTCAAAATACTGACCTCAAATTCTTCTTAACCGCGCACACTTCTCTTGACTGTGTTACGTCATTCAGGTCCGTAATTGTAATTTTGAAAAAACACCCTATTATCAACTAAATGTCATGTTACGTAACTCATTTTTGTTATCAAACGAATAGAATACTAACATGTGATTGCGCAGCTAAAGAACGATATCGTTAAAAAAAGTTAACGTCTGAATGACAGTTGTTTCATGACTTAGATTTAGTCTGCATACAACTGCACATCCTTTGCTTGATACTTGTAAACGGGTGATGGTTTAAAAAACAAAAAAAGAACTTTTTCTTAACATGAAAAGTAAAATAGATAACACCACATTACCGATAAGCCATAAATTATCAAAACGGATGCCTGATTATCGTGAAACAGACAGGTAGACAGAATCAACGTAAAACCTCACGCATAAATTCATCGCTTCAACCTGTCCCATTTCACAGTTTGGTATACCGAGAACAAGTGGACAGAAAAAGAGTGATGTCAAAGTAGTCAAAATTGTGTCAGCGAATAAACAGTTTGAAAATAACGGTTAGTGTGAATATTCAAGCTTTAGAAGACGTCAAGGAGTGAATACATCTGCGTTACTGTCACTGATTATAAGCCATGTCACCAAGCCGTTTTAAACACTGATATTTATTGTTTTGGATCGGAGCATAGTCAGGGACTTCATGTTCTTAGGTCACTTCTAAGTTTAGCCACAGAACTCTCTTCCCACCTAATGCCAGTTCATTTACCACGGCACTTCGTAGTGGGCTTGACGTTGGTGTTGAAAATACGGATCTTGTTCTTTATGCTGAGTGGAATGCAGCAGATCTCCACACTGATTTCAGGTTAATGAAGGCCTGTCTTGCATTTCCGATCCTTGCTTTGATGTCCTCATCTGTACCTGTCCCATCTGTAGTTTAAACAGTGCTGTCTAGTTAGGTGAAGGATACTACTTCCTTTAGGTTTCTCCCGTTGATGGTAACTGTGCTTGTTGTTGGTGGTGGGAGTTGGATATCTTCATCACCTCTGTCTTCTCTATGTTCACTTGAAGTCCCATCTTGGCTGCCTCGCCTCTTCGGTCAACTTGTTGGTTTTTGCCTGTAGATGTTCGAGTTTGTTCCATAAGACATAAGACATAAATCATTATCGGTGAAGTTCAAATCTTCTGGGGTCTTTTCATCGGTGAAACAGTATATGCCCATCTTCTCGCTCCTCACGGTTTTCTGCATGGTCCTGGCCAGTACAGTCGACCATAATCAGGAAGATCATCGGTGATAGTAGGCGCTAGTCTTGTCGTACTCCTGTCTTCATTGCAAATGTGTCACTGAGCTTCACATTGTGAATCA